GTGCGGCTTCGGGGGGGGAGCCGCGCCAGTCAATGTAGGTCATGAGGTCGCCGGCAGAGAGGGCAGCAAGCGCGGCGGCGGCGGACTCGTCGCAGCTAGCGAGGGGGGAAGGAGAAATCTCGCCGATGAGCTTGCGATCGTGGGTGATGACCGCAACAGAGGTTTGTTCGTGGAGGGCACGAGAGATGAGTGGCAGGAAGGAAAGGTCGGGGTCGTGGCGATGGACGGTGAAAACATCGGTGGAGCGGACGAGGCCAAGATGGCTCACAGAAAGGTCGGCGACGGGGGAGAAAGTGGCGATGGAGTTGAAGAAAAAGCGAGCGAAGTCCTCCTGTGTCAGCCAGCAGAACATTGTGGAATGTCCTGTGATACTTCCGGGATTCTTGGGATGGCTTGCCGTTGATTGGATGGGTGCCCAGAGGATACGCGGTCCTTCCAGAAGAAGGTTGAGAGCATCAATAACTCTGTTCATAAAGAAGAAAGTTTATATTTTTGTTAAAAGAAGCATGTTTCAGGTCAGATGAATAAGCTACAAATGTTATGATTTATGATTCATTAATATATGGCCTAAAATCAAGAGAATAAATTGAATTATCAAAGGTGCTCTATGAATTAAATCCTAATTCAATGGTGGAGCAGAATTTGTCGAGCAAATTATATCACATACAAAATCGGAATATATATATATTTTTTTCTATGAAAAAGAAGTAAACTCGAGTTCAAAAGATGTGATCATTTTATGGTTCTGTTCTAAACTTTCTTTTGTTTGTTTGATCCATTTTTTTATATATGTGGTCAGATTTTGTTTGTTTGATGAACTTTGCATATATTTGATCATCGCGTTGGTTTATTATATTTGGCAATTTGTTGTCTTTCTCAACAGAGAGCTGCCAACCGTTTTTATTTGTTTTACATGGCCAAATGTGTGGCTTTCCAGGGAATTATGGATTAAGATCACGTAGGAAATGACTGTGGATGCTTAACTTTTGGCCCCAGGATTATTTTGTATATTTTACTTCTATTTTTTTGTTATAAAGTATATTTTGTTTTTATTTTTATAAATAAATAAAATTGTTTAAAAAAAAAAACTCAAATCACTTTTAAGTGGGTTATTGAGTGCATGATCTATCCATTTCGCTCTTTAAATGAGAAGAGTGAGCTCTATCCCTGTCTAATGTTAACTAGTAATTCATAATATGTGTCACGAAGATGGGAAGTTGTATTTTGTAATCGCATCTGTTAGTGTGGTTATTTAAAAAAAACTGTTATTTAAATTAAAAAATAAATATTTATAAATTTAATCGTAATTTTTTTAATAAATTCTTTTCTTTAATATAAATTCACAGTTATTTGAGATTTTTCAATCATAAAAAATATGGCAAAACAATTCGTCATTCTTTTCCGTCAAGTACATCGTCAGGCAAGCCACTGCATCATCCTTTGTCAAAATAAAGGAGAGGATTTTCATAAAATTAAATGCTCTGGAACTTCTTCTAATTACTTCACAGCCTTTTTCTTGATACTCTAAATTGATATTTAGCTCTCATACAATTCAAACGAAGCAATAGAAAACAGGAGTTTGCGATGACGTTTTCATTCACAGCATTCCCCAAAAATATTGAATAATCTCAAATAATTATTTAAGAAACATTTATTTAGGACAAATCGCAACAACTAGGACAGAAAATAATAAGACTAAATCAAGACGAAATGTTTTTTTCCAGAATCAATTCAACTTAGAAATTCAAACAAGGCAGGGTTAAATCTTTGGGAAGAAGAATACCTTGAATGTGACTCTACATGACCCATAAGGGCGGCCGTTTCATTAGAGAGAAGGACGGAGACTGAATTCTTGAGGGCGGCCTCCGGCGACGATATGTTCTCCTCTGCACATAGATAACAGAGAATGTCGACCATGCAGAATTTTCCGGCGAAGGCCTCCGAGGTCCAAACGCTAATATAGGTATCACCACATTGCTTGAGGACAAGGATGGCTTCATGAATGGTGGCGGAGATTGGCAACACTCTCAGTGCTGGCTTGCCGATGCAGAGATCGGATACCTCATGAGACAGAAGGTTCACTGCCATACAAAAAAATGATTTTAAGGCTAAACTCTCAAGAGGATTTCTCTTGATAGCAAAAGAAGTTGGATGGTGAGGTGAAGGTGAGGTGAAGGGAAATGAGGAAACAAGGAACCAACTCTTGTGCTTTAAAGAAAGTGAGGGATGAATTTGTAAATACATAATAATTGAGTGGTATGTATGTGAATCTTACGTGAAGGGCATTTAAAACGAAAGGGGCCATTATGTATGTAATCTATTATCAAGTAACGGTTAATAAATGATTAATAAACAAATAATGATAATTAGCTGATATTGAGATTGATTAGCGAATTTGATCCCTTGAACGAGATCTGTTGCATTCCAAATACACTAATACATTTGTTGATATATAAAAAAGAAAAATTAGTGTTGATTGTACCGACAAACATGCTTTTATGAGATGAAGGATAATGACATATCGACATTATAAGGAGAAACAAGTAGTATGAGGAAGCGACAGCCATGTTGCAGAGCAATGATGGCGACCATATAAGAAAGGATGAGGAAGTTTTATAATTTGTTACAGTGAGATGGTGGCGGCGTCATAATAATAATACATGTTGGAAGGGGAGATGAAATTTGTTAGCAAGATAAAAAATGGGAGGTTCAGAGTGGGATGATTTAATCAAAATTGAATAGAGGTTGAAATTAATGATATAATAAATATTCAAATTATTTAAATATTTCTTATATTAGATAATATGATATATTAATGATATTTTCATCGATTCAATATATAATATTCTAGCGCAAGGCATTTTACTAATAAATATTTTGAATATGATTCAAAATCTAAATATTGGAAAATTATACTTTAATTAATTTTTTTACTTTTAATCAATTTTTTTATTTTTGGTTATTTGATTAGAGTCATAAAATCAACAAATTGATCAATACTAGAATCGTAAGATTCCTTAAAAAATAGATGGGTTCAACAATTCAAGTTACACTTAGACCATACTAGCTGGATGATTGGTCCACGGTTGCATCTGTTGGGCTGCTTGGTATAGACTACTTTTTCAAACCATGTTGGTTAGTAATAAAAAAAGTGAGAATGAAATGGAGATGCAAAGGGGGTAGGAGAGAATGTATGTAGGAATCATATTGTGTATTTTAAACAATTGTTGTTTAATATATTGTCTTTAACATTATATTTTTTAATAAATAACAAAGAGCACTAAAATGCTCCAATTTAATGATAAAATAAAAAATTACAAACAATTGTTGATTAATATCTCGTCTTTAACATTATATAGAGTGACTATATTTACACTGTTCAAGTAAAAATGACTATAAGATAATGAATGATTATGTTTGAAAAAAAGACTCTTCATTGAGTGTAAGTTTCCTAAAATCACCTCCAAACCTTAGTTGTACTTAGGAAAATTTTACTCTAATTGTTGAAAAAGTTGTGTTGAATTCAACATGTCAAACGAAACCTATTCTAGATTCTACACGAGAAATAAAAACACACACACAAAGATGAGGAAAAAGTGGCAAAAGATTGGAGCTGAGAATTCCATTAAAAGTTAGATCATGTTGAGTTTAATTAAACAACATAGAATTTAATAGGACAAGTTGGATCACTGTTAAAGAGAGTAAACTCAATGGAATAGAGAAAAAGATTTCTAGAGACATAAAAAAAAGAAAGCTTTTAGGTTTCCAAATTGTGATCCATATGCTTGGACACTTTACTCATAACTATAGGTACAAATAAAGATAGATGCAATAAGAAGACTAGTATGAAGCATGAGTCAATATATAATCTAATCATTTTTGTATTGCAAATGAGGTAGTTAAATGTTCATAAAATGATTTCCACAATAAAAGTATACTAAAAAAGATCAGTTGAAATCATACGAAGAGTTCTATTGGGATAGTTTTGATGGAAGCTCCAATCGTTGAAGAGTTCTCTTAGGATATTACTCTAATGTGTTGTATCAGTTGAGTTACTATTGACTCTCTAGATTTAACATATTAATTTTATTTAATAAAAACTCTATTTCATTAATAGAAGATTTTTTTATGCTTTGGAGGCATTCAACAAATCATGTTATGATTTATGACTGGTTTAAGTTGGCTTGTTAGTTAATAATTTCCTTACAGGTAATATAGATTTTCATAATAGATTAATTTGTTCAAAATGAGTATTATTGTATATTTGTATCATTATTATCTTTTCCCTTTTTTTGAATTTGAGAATGATAAGATGAGTAAGGTAGAGAGTTTGTCCTAAGTACTCTGTGATTATTAGAAATCTTGAGACGCATTATAAATGTAAGAATAAGTTGTTATAATTTGGAAATAGAATCCTTTCTTATTATTATTATTATTATTATTATTATTATTATTATTATTATTATTATTATTATTATTACTTTGGTATTATTTTATTTCTTCTTCTTTTTTAAGATTTTTTTGCCTATCATGTCTTCTTTCAAAATAAAGAGATTTAAAGTCACTAATTCCACTATCGTTGACAAGCTATAAAAGAATCAGTATGAATAAATTCATGAGAAAATCTCCATTACATGTTGAGAGAATACCATCAATTGGAAAGCCTTCATTAAATAAAGTAAATATTAAGTGAATTGAGAAAACTGTGAAGATATGTATCATTATCAAGATAAGATAGTTTATAAGAAACTAAATAGAACTACTAAGACTATAGATGAGAAAGTTGATGTAGATGCAAAGAAAATGAGCATGTTAAGTTAATTATCATATAAAGTTAATTAAATGGGTTAGTTTTGCAAACTTATTTATTTTTATTAATTTATTTGTCAAACTTATTTAAGTCCAAGTAATAATTATTTTGGCTTGATTTGAGTATGGGAAACTAAGCTAATGAGTTTGTTTAAATCAATTTAATCAAATTTGTAATTTAAACTAAAATGGATAAAGTGGGTTCCTTAGGGTTCCAACTATGATAAATGAATTTTTTTGGTTTAATTAGATAAACCAAGGTTAAATTGGTTTAATTTCATAGATATTAAATCCAGAGTTTAATTGGAAGGTGTTGACCTCAATTTTGACAAAATTATACCTCACATAGCCTTTGGCCACTCTCTAGATCTAGGCCCCCTTCCTAGCGTCCCTAGGTAATAAATTCGTCCCAACTGGCTAATTGGTCATGCTGTAGTCTGGTTGGCTTTGTTTTGGTTGGTTGACCTTTTTTTGGGTGGCTCAGTCTTTGCTTTATAGTCCCAAGGGAGACCCACTAGATCTTATCTCACCTTATAAAGTTAGGAGTCTAGTGGTCATTCACCTTAAAACCTGGGGAGCCCAAGCTTAGCTTAGGTGTGGTTTTATTAAGTTTATGGGTGGCTAATATAAGGTAAATTTATATAATTTCATTACATTAAGTACCATGTTATCTTCATAATTTATCATGATATAAATCTTGAGAAAAGTATTTTTGTGGTGTTGTGCAGGATACAGTGTTTATGCCACCTAGGGAAGAAAAAGAGTAAAAATCAGGATTTGCACAAGCATCCCTAAATTTGCGCACATATGCATGCACTTATGCATACCCGCACACCCTCAGGTGTGCACGCTTGTGCTCATCTAGTCACACGCCTGTTTATGCACCTTTAGCACACCATGTGCGTGAACTTGCACGCAACCACTACCCGCTTCCATACCTCCCACACATTTGCACACCCACACGCACTACTACCCCACCCCACACATGCAATAAGCCACCCAAGCCACCCGCGACTGCATTCCAATGCCTTCAGTTTGTGCTCACCTCCATGCTTTTGCACTCACGTGCATGTGCATGCACCCTCACCTCTAGGTACATTTGTTCACTCAAGGGCTTACATGCACTTAAGCCCGTAATTGTGCACTCGAACGAGCATGTGCTCACACCCATGCATCACGTGCTCACCCGCACGCTCACTTGCGCCTTTTAGCGCACCTAAACATCCCAATTTTGGAATTTGACATAATAGAAGAGTTTATATACCTATATTGGACCTTTAATGCAATACCTAAGTATATAAACTTATTTTGTCATTATAGAAATAATTTTTGCCTTGAGGGCTTAGCCTCTAAGGTTTAGGGAAGTCTTTGGAGATCTAGGAGTTTCTTCCTTTTCTCATGTGTTTTTTGAAGGGTTTGATGATATTGTAAGGAGTGATAGAGTTCATATGTATGAGAGGATATTTAAGAGAGCTTGTATTGATCTGGAGGAGAGTGGCATATTGCTAAGGAATTATCGACTCTGGATGAGCGTTCTGAACCTCTTGCACTGTTATCCTTATTATTATGTTTGCAATAAACATTTTAAATTTTCTTTTCTCATGCATTGTGATTTACTTCATTTCATGCTCCTTTGTTTTATGGCATTTGGTTTTCTAGTTGTTTTCATTCTCTGGATTTTTGTTCTCTCGATGTCTTTTTAATGCATGAATTTCTAATGTTGATGTGTTAAGCTTTTGATCATATTTTACTTTTTATTTGATGTGATAAGAATGTTAAAATCTCTCTTGAACTATGGCTTTTATCTTTTGCATAGTAGAACAGGTAGGTTAACCACAAATATCTGATAGAATAGGCATATTCTAGTTATGATTTTGCAACCAAGATAGGAGATCGACAGAACCCTAAAAAATTCCATGAGTTTATCCTAAGTTGTCAACAATAGCATAGGTGTCCTAAGGATATTAAACTTACATATCTGAAAAAATAAAGACTTTTTCCTATCGTTTATGTTAATTGTATTTTTAGGACTGTTAAACTAATTTCTTACGTTCCATCACTTTAAACTAGTCTTAGCGGTTTAGTAAACTATAAATTCATATGTTAGAAATATTTTGACATTTTTCTTGGGATCAATATGTGGACTCATTTTTGTATATTACTTGATCAACACGTATACTTACGATTCGATTTCAGGCATTAAGGCTTTGTAGACATTTTGGGTTGAAGTTTAAATTTAATGTTAAATTTAAACATATAACTAACTTAAATCAAAGAAT